CCCAGCCCCAGGAGGTGCAAAGAACAAAGCACACAAGTCAAGGGCAGGTTACCTCTATCTAAAGGCATTTTAAAAAGTAAAATATCCAAGCAAATAACCCAACTGACTTTTTTTTAACTAAACAAATTAGATGTTTTAGCATTTAGAGATAATTCCAAATAACACTAAGTGTCCCCAAAATACTATAAAAATTACACTTTGCCAACAGTGTGATCTCACTAGGTGAGGACACACAGGTTAGCTCCCATTCACCCCACACCAAAGCCCAAGCTTGCTTGGGTAAACTGAGTAAACTCACCAGCTAGTTAAGAATTATTATCTTGGAGGAACACAGCATTAACGCCCTGCTCGTGTTAGTTATCTGAGTTTAATGAGAAAGTTCCCAAAGGACGTTAAAGTTCCTCACTGTAAACTGACCCATCTCCTTGGGATGCTGGTCATTACACTACACACCTGACCTCTTACACACAAAGGAAACTGCTGGCGTGCGTGGGTCGGTGGGCAGTGTAAAGCTGCGCAGCTGCCTCACGAGGTCCGTATCCGCCCTGACTGCACACCTGGGGTGAGTCCAGGTGACAGACCTCTGAATGTCACTTCACACGGCGGCTGAGAGTGGCTGCAACTTGCGCTTCTCCCTCGCTGCCCAGACGGGCACGCCCGCCGGCCTGTGCTGGCAAGTGGCCTCACCTTTATTCTGCCGCCACTGAGCTCCTCGCTGAGTCTCAGTCTGGCGTCCACCACCCTTTTTAAGTCTCTCTGCAGGCGACGTCCAAAGTCCCTGAACATCGTCGAGCCCCCCGAAAGAACGACATTCTAAAAGACACAAAGCAGAGGTTTCCTTGCATGAAATCACCCGCCCACGCTGGCCTAGTGACCTGCCCACGACACACCCCACACACCCAATCGCTTGTTTGAATAACACACTTCAAGCTATGTGAAAAGATGATCACCGAAGCAGAGCTAATGCTATCGAGAAAGTATAAACTGTTCTTTTTTTCCTGTGTCACAAATTCTTTCTCTTGGTGCTCTTCCTCAATTATAACCAAGTGAAAACACGCTGCCTCTTCCATTTCTCAAAGGGCCATCTTCTACCAACACCCCTCCCCGTTTTCTCTTGACAAACTGCAAATCTAGATCTTTCATACAACATCCTGCCCCAGGATCAACATCATGAATAATCACTGCTGCACCCGGTCACCCGTGGAGAAATCGCTCAGAAACAACAGCAGACGCTTCGGCTCCTATCAGAGTCAAGGGGCCACCAACCCATGCTGCTCTCAGGGGTCAGCCCTGCTCACCGACACTCCTCCTCGACCTGGCCAAGAGCTGAGAGAACCAGGACCAAGTCCCGGACAGGTCAGATGGCAAAACCTTACTAGAGTAAAACAAGGGCATTCTGATCCCCACCTTCTTGAAGAGACAGGTCTCTTCACCTGCTAACATCTTCACATAAACTGTATCTGTTTGCTACTGAGAATCACCATTTAAAAGCATTCTTGATATTCTGGGCATCATATCTTAGAATAAGCCTCACAGTTCAATTCTCGACTTCATAAATTATATTGATAAAAAAACTTTATCTAAATCCATCACTGCTCTTCCAATTCTGTCACCTGCACTGCTAGCACTCTTTCTAGCATTTTTCTCTCCAGTCCAGGATACTGTCTTGGGTCAGTTGCTGCAATTACTTCTCATATCTCTGTAATGGATTTTTTAATTTATAACTTAACTCACCAGGGTATGAAAACGAATGTTCGTTAAGATCAGAAGCATTGCAAGATCTTGAGTTGCTTTCAAAGGTGTAACACATAAGATTCATTTTTTCATTCATTAACACAACAATAAAAACGGTGCTGTGGGGCTTCCCTGGTGGCACACTGGTTAAGAACCTGCCTGCCAATGCAGGAGACACGGGTTCAAGCCCTGGTCTGGGAAGATCCCACATGCCACGGAGCAACTAAGCCCATGAGCCACAACAGTGAGAGGCCCGCGCACCGCGATGAAGAGTGGCCCCCGCTCGCCACAACTAGAGAAAACCCTCGCACAGAAACGAAGACCCAACACAGCCAAAAATAAATAAATAAAAATTAAAAAAAAAAAAACGGTGCCGTGTATACACTGTGTATACGTGGTCAGATGATTTTAGACAAAGTAGCCAAGATACTTCAACAGGAAAAGAATAGTCTTTGCAACAAATGATGCTGAATAATTAATATCCACAGAGGAGAAATGAACATTTGCTTACTTACCTTACTTCACACACACAACCTAACTCAATATGGATCACAGATTTAAATGCAAGGGCTAAAACTTACAGAGCTTCTAGAAGAAAATATTTTCTTTTTTTTTTTTTTTTCTTAGCAATACGCAGGCCTCTCACTGTTGTGGCCTCTCCCGTTGCGGAGCACAGGCTCCGGGCCAGGCGGATTCTCAACCACTGCGCCACCAGGGGAGCCCGAAGAAAATATTTTCTTAAAGTCTTCATGACTATGATGTAGGCAAAGATGTCTTTGATCGGACATAAAAAGCGTGAACCATAAAAAATAAAAACTGATAAATTGAACTTTACAAAATGAAAACTTCTGTTCTTCAAAAGATACCACTAAGGAAATGAAAAGACAAGCCACAGACTAGGAAAAAGTATCTGCAATACATACGTCTAACAAAGGACTTATACCCAGAATATAAAAAGAACTCTTACAACTCAATAATAATATAAACAAGCCAATTAAAAAATGGGCAAAAGATTCAAACAGACATTTCACAAAAGAAGATACACAAATGACGGATAAGTACGTGAAAAGATAGGCAACAGCATTTGTAATCAGGATCATACAAACCAAATCCATTACACACCAAGTTTAGGTTAAAATACAAACAAATGAAACTCTTGCACATCGCTAGTGGAAATATAAATGATACAACCACTTTGGGAAAAGTTCAGTCGTTTTTATAAAGTCAGTGGTTACTGTTTTCTTTCTTAAAGACTCTGGCACTTCCCGAATTTTCTAAATGCATTTTAAGCCAGAAACGATCATCCTCGCTCACCTGTAGAGTCTACGTTTCCTACACTAAGACAGCGTTTTATGGTGCTGGCGCCGACCTGCTGAAAGGGCGTGGAGCCCAATTTGCATAACACCTCCTCACGCAGTGCAGCTTGTGCTATCTGCTTACCCAGACCACCGTGTGGACTGGGTTCTTCTACAGACTGCAGCTTACTCTGCTGCGTAACTGTTTATCCCATGATGTCAAATAAAAGCCTCAATCATAAACTACCTCTACAAAAGCAAAGGCCCTGTCTTTATGCTAGTAAAGAACATCCTAGCACACATCATCATGAACACTACACACAGCCTGTTAGCCACCTGACGTTTAAGCCAGAAAGACAAAGTCTATGTTAATAATAAGCTCATTCAATCCCTTATATAGTATTAAAAATAACAAAAACTCCCATTCCTGTAACGCTAAGTATATTTTGTGCTGGAGACTCTATTTGTACTCTTAATCCCATCTGGCAGACACGCCATGCCCCTACCCACCATGCTATTCCTCTGTTAACCAGAGGCACAAAGTAAGATGCTCACAGCGAACTCTCCACCCCCACCACTCGCTACAGGTTAAGATGACAACTCTCCCAGCAACCACCCCTACATGGATATTTTGAAAGGCTTGTCCCTCTTTAGGGACAAGAACTTTTTTTAAAATAAAAAAATTCACAGCTTTTTAGGGAAGCATGCAACTTATTCTGTTACAGCAGTTCTCAAACTTTTTAAAAAATATTTATTTATTTTTGGCCACATTAGGTCTTAGTTGTGGCGCGTGGGCTCAGTAGTTGCGGCGCGAGGGCTTAGTTGCCCCACAGCATGTAGGATCTTAGTCCCCAACCAGGGATCAAACCGGCATCCCCTGCGTTGCAAGACGGATTCTTAAGCACTGGACGGCACAAGAGCTTTTTTACTCTCAGACGGAACCCAAAGACTGCAATCCCAGCAAAGTTTGAACAAACTTACTTCTCAAAGGTGGGCTGTATGATGCCCCGCCCTATCCTAGAGGAAATCCAACTCCAAGCTGGCTCGAAACGGCTGCCTGACCGTAGGAGACGTAACAACCGACGACAAACGTCTCCCAAGAATTGCCTGCATGTCTCCTCCCCCGGTGACTCCTCTTCTTCCCTCAGCTGCTGTAACCTGGCCTCTGCCCGCACCCTCACCGAGAACCCAGGGGCCACCTCGGCCCTCGTGCTGGGTGACCTCTGGGCGTCACCTGACACGGCTGATGACAGCTGTCTCTCCTTGACTCCCAGAGTGTTCTTTCTCTTCTTTCTTCAGCTGCTCCTTCCTGGCTTCTTGGATGGTTAACTCTGTGTGTCAGCTTGGTCTGGCTACAGCACCCAATGATTGACCCACACGGCAACCTCGGTGTCGCTGTGAAGGTACTTTGCAGATGTGGTCAACGCTAAGAGCGTCCTCCCTAACGCAGATGGGGCCTCTTCCAAGGAGTCAGAGGCCCTGGGCGCAGGAATGAGGCACTGGCCTCAAGCCCGACACACTCCCGTCAGGGTCTATCCCGGTGCCCACGTGAGGCCGGGCCCTCCTTGTAGGCTCAGTGCACATTTGCTCAACGTTGTCAAAACGGTGTCAAAACAGTCACCATCGGCCCCTCCTCACTCTCTCATAACAATAAGCCTCTGGAAGTTCCTCTCCACCTGGCAGGTCAGTGCTCAGCTGTGACATCACTCTTCCCTCCCCAGCGGCACACGGATCCGCCATTCCTGGACACAGGAAGCATCAACTATGGGGGTGCGCGTGGAGCCGGGGCTGGACCAGCAAGCCCTGGGCCTGCTCTGTCCACCACCTGGCCCCAAACCGCCCGCTCATCTGCTCACACGTCAGACTGCACTTGGGAATCTCACCTGAATAGAAGGCCTACTGTGAAAAGGGTTGAACAAACCAATAATGTCTTAAAATGTGTATTTCGCTCTCTCAAGTATTAAAGATATTTCAAGAATAAAAATACATATATAACTCACTTTGCAATAGCTCCTCCGATTTAAAAGGTATTAACATACTTACATAGAACCCAATTCAAGCAATCTGTTCCAGAAAAATCATTCCTTGAACCACATCAAGATGCAGTCACGTCTGCTTGACAAACACAACGAATGAGATTTTTTAACAACCCTCAGCCCACTGCCAAAGCAGGTCTAAAAATATTTAATTGCCAGCCCCGCCCTCCCTCCTGGACTTGGTGCCCACCACCTTCAGTATCACTCTGGGCTCCACCTGCAGCAGGGTTCTGCAGCCTCTGCCCTGCGCCCGCGCTCCCACCTACTCCAAGTGCCCTCCCCCTGGCTTGCACCCCCACCTCATCTCTGCAGGCCGAGCCCTCAGACCAGCTCCCTGCCACCTTCTCCAAGTCCTCCTTGAGACCCTCTCATTAAATTTCCATGACACCTCAATAAACGACACTTAGCTTGTGGTGGTTCCCATGAGAATTATTTCAGTATTATTTTTAGCGTTTTTATAAGCTCTTGAAGACAAGATCCATCTCTCATACAGACTTAAATCCTCTAAGTTAACAACAATAGTGTCTTGTATTTAGTAGAGACCCAGCTGCATTACAAAGCAACTCAAAATTGGCTTTGGCCTTGAGTAAAGCATGAAAGCTACTAAACGCTGACTAACCCCAGAGCGAACTAGTTGCTAACAGTGGTTCTCAATTTAGCTATACATCAAAATCATCTGGGAAGCTTTTAAAATCCGGATGCCCAGAACAATTACATCAGAATCTCTGGGGGTGGGACCCAGGCATCA